GGGAGCCCTGAACTGGACACAGTGCTCCAGATGTGGCCTCCCCAGGGCAGAGCAGAGGGGGAGGATGACTATGGTCACTTAAGGCAGAGATATACCCCCACGCTGCCCGTTCAGCTTAGCTCACTGCACGCCTCTCACTGTTCCATTAAGTGGAAGGAGCATTCAAACATTCAGGTTTTAAGTATACCAACACAGATACCCAGCTAGTGTTCTGCCTTGTGCCCCCCACTGCCCCAAACCAGTCTTTATTTATAAGGATCAGGAATATTTTAAAGCATAATGTCTCTTAGCACGATACAATACAATCATCTGTTGCTCTGCAGCTTCCTATAACAAAAGAAAGAAATCAGAACTGAGACGTTTCGCAAAGACAGCAGGAAAGTCACAGGCAGTGAAAAGGTCAGAACACAATTATGACTGTGCACTGCTCCATAAGGCAAAAATATAACTTATCTTTTAATTAACACTTTCCTTCAAGAAATTACTTTGCCCTGCAGAGCAACGCGAGGCAAAGACTGCGACTCAGAAGAAAGCAGAGACACATACCCTTTTCTCCATCTCCAGCATGCTGGACCGGTCAGAAGTTTTCTCCTGTTTCTGCCATGTAGATTAAAAATAGAAAGCCATTAAAACCGAGGGGCATTCACAGGGTGCCGCACAAAGGCCTGGACAGCCTACAGATGCACTTGCCCGGAGAAGCAGCAGTCTTTACACAATCACTCACACTTATTTCTGTGAAAAATAACAGTCTCCCTGGCAGCGCCTTCCCACCCAAGAGTAAATCCTTCCCCACGCCGGAACACGCACTGGCTTGTCATGGGCCGGTGCTGTTTCCCCAGTCTAGGAGGCGGTTTTCGCCTTACCTGGGCTGCTTTTTCCAACTTTGATTTGATGTCGGCCAACTCCAGCTGGGCTTCTTGCAGTTTTGACTTCAGCTTTTGATTTTCAGTCAGGGCGCTTTCATACAACTGCAATACGAAACGAAAGAAGGCAATTAACAGGACCGCTCTTGGGCCGCCGCGCAGACCCAGTTCTGCCACACTGCTCCCAGCAGCCGCGTGTCCTCAGCACCGCGCGGAGGCAGCGGTGGGGTTTGCTTCGCTCCCCCGTGTCAGGATATTAGAAGAAGGGCAAAGAGAACCAGTCTGGGTGCTTCACTTGCGTTTTCATAATTCATATGAAATAAGAAAACAGCTGTTTAATTTTGCAGGGTGTCTAAGCACAGCCAAGAGGCAGAGAACGGGGATGTTTTTAATTTAGGTAAACCGCCAAGCATAATAAAGTACTAAGTTGTGTACACTGTATCTGTGATCCAACACAACACACCCTCGTTGCTCTTGTGTGCTTTTAGTTTGAAGAGGAGGAGAAAGGAGGGCAATTTTAGGCCACTCCAGAATGTTTTTTTTCCCTTTGCTTCCCTCAAACAAGCAGAATTTCCATCCCTCTGAGAGGACAAACCGGACACACCGCCTGCCTGTTCTGGCCAGACACGTTCAGGAAGAAGAGCGGGGCGCTGCCTACCGCGCGAGACTTTTCAGCATCAGTCGTTTCAGAATTAAGGCCATTTTAGTCTCTTTACTTTTCATGTGGTCTTTGCACCGGCAGCAGATGTGCGTGGCAGTCCGTGTCACTGCCTTTCACAGATTACGTTGGAAGCTTTAGAGATTATGGAAAAAATAATTCTGGGATGTTACAGCAGCATAAATAATCCTGGGGGGATGTGCATGCTTGAGCCGTGCTGGCGTGCTCAACGCTACCTGTTCTTGCTCCTTTCAAATCCCCGCAGCGTTTCTCCAGCCCGACTCCTCGGTCCCCCTCCCCCAGATATCTGACTGTGCACCATGTCCCTTCACCCCCTGTCCTTTTTTGACCCTCTGAACGGCCGATGCATTTGAAAAAGGTTGGTGTGACTTCCAAAAGCAAGGGAACAGAAAATGAAAAGAAACTTTTTATTTCCAAAGAGTCCCAGTGCAGGTTTCTGCAGCAACAGGCAGCTTCTCAGGTGCATGCAGTGACAATAATACTTTAAAAAAATTCCTACTTTTTTGTAGTCCCTGTTACTCTCCTCTTCTGCTCTGCTGCTGAGGGCAGCTAACCGGTTCTCTCTGCGGGTGTAGGCACTGGAGCGGCTGGAGGCACGATCGCTGTAGGAGTCACTGGTGGTAGGGTTCGTAGCTGCTTCCAACCTAAACCGTGAGGAAGACACAGCACAATGGAGCCGCTGTCGCCTCGGGACAGCCAGTGTCAGCCCGGCCGGTCGGGACCCGAGGCCATGGCAGACCCGGCAGGGCAGAGGTGCTGGGACGACTGAGAGCCCCCTCCACCCGCAGCAGCGCATCGCTGCCGACGCCAGGCAGCAATCACCGGTCTGAAACCGGAAAAAAATCCAGTGGGTATCAGCCCAACCCCTGACCGGGCGGTAATTTCCCACGGAGCTCTCACCTTCATGGAGTGGGCTCCATTTCTTATAGGGCACAGGGAGGGGGTTTGCTCTCTGCAGAGCAGCTGTTAAATAATTTGGGGAGCAAAGCGTGAAGGCAAACGGGCCTTACGGTTGAGCTAAGGTAAGAAGCAAGAGGCCAGTACCAGCTTCACCTTATGCTGATGATTTGAAGCAGAAGGAATCCTCAAAGCCATACAAAGTATACTGTCAATAAATATTAAATAGAAAAGATTCTAAAAAAAAAAAAAAATATTCTTACCTGGAAAGTCTTTCATGCTGAAGGAAAAAAAAAAAGAAAGAAAAAAGGAATTAATAAGAGGACAATTAAAGGTTCAATCCAAAACCCACAGAGCTACCACTCAGCAGCAATTTCCTACCTCTGCTACCTGCACCTAGCTCACAACGAGCGAACAGCGTTATCTCCCATTCCTAAACTGGGAATCACTGATCCTTCCCTGAATCTTTTCCACTGCTTCAGCTTCTCAGCATTTCAGATTTCCTTTTTTTTTTTGCTAACCTAAAACCCACTGAACCTTGCTCTTCACATCCTTGTTTCCAGAATTGAAAGCCATTCCTTTGAACCAAAACTAATCTATTGTTTCCCTTTTAAAATCAAATTATTCTTCCTGACTTTGATCACTGTCCTATGCATGATGTGGGTGAGAAGGACTAATGGCCCATGAGCTGCAGAGCTCGCTGCGTATTTGTGCTGAACTTCAGGAAATCGCAGACGGTACTTTTTCTCCATGGGCAAATACCTCCCCCAGGAAGAAAAGCTTCACTGTGGCGAGACGACACACAGCAGAAGCTGCACGAGGAAGGGAGAGGGGCCTTACACCAGCCAAAAGGGTGGACACGTTGGTTGAAGTGTGTGTTAGGTTCTTCTTTCCCCATCAATAGCCAAATCATCCCTGTGCTGTCCCCAACGCTGCTTTTGCCGCAGCCCACAATTGCAGAACTCAAACGGTAACGGCATAGGTGTCCCACGGGACACACCGCACTGACCCACCACCGCCGCCTCCGCAAGGCTTCTGCTTGGCTGGCAGACACCGCTCAAATTCAAGGCGCAGTCGAACCCTTTCTCAGTCCCTCGAACTGGAAGTTGAGCCCGATGCTCCCCTGCCAGATCTATTAGCAGCGGCACTTCTCTGAGTGAGCACAAACCGGGCGCTACCCGTTATTCCCCTCAATCCTTTTTAATAAGTGTGAGAGTCAACAGAAGAAGAAGGACATGAAGAGCAGACGAGGGGTCAGGCTTTTAGTGCCCAGACATGCTTATGTTGGAGTTGGCTCTGCTGAGATACGCCACTAAATCTCGTGCTGAACGCCTTGCTGGCCGGCCGAACGGCAGACTTCAGCCCTCCTGCTCCTGCCTGGCACCCAGACGATGCCTCTGAGCACTGGGAGGTATCTGGGAGCGCGCCCAGCACAGATGGGGGAATTAAGTCACCCCGTTACGTGCAGAAGGAGGGTAGACAGGCGACCCTGCAACCTCTGCGCTCAAAGCCAGAGGACCACGAGGGACAAGTCCCGGCGCGGCAGGGACTGCGCCCAGCCCGCCTGCAATGCTGCCCTCCGCTCGCCAGGACGCAGGGACCCGGCCACCTAAGATGTATACCTAGTTATTAAGTTTTCAATTCAGCCTTCCCTCATGTAACCCTCATCTTGGATCCTGATTCCAGGCTGGAGCATCCCCAGGGAATCTGCACTCCCTGCTCTGCCACACAGCCCTCCGTCGCAGGACGTGGGGATTTGACCAGCACAAAAGAAATGAAATATTTGAAGCCTCGCGGATGGACAACACATTCAGCCAAAGCTGCTCCATGCAAAGCTCAAAAGGACAAGCAAAGCCTGCTACTAATTAGCACGTTCTCCCTCGAGCTGTGCCCTCAGCCGGGCTCCCGGGGCAGGTCCGGGTGCCAGCCCAACGTTGTAGAGATGGTCACCAAAGCTCGAGGAGCCTGTCCTGGTGCTGCCATGGGTCCTGAGCCATGGCAGCAGGTCCAGCCCCACATTATTTTATTTGCTCTAACCCCCTGTCCATGCCCCCAAAGCCTTCTTTGCACCATGTGGGTGGGAAACCACCTAAGGGAGACAGCAGATGGCTTTCCACCATAGCTGCACCTCCACAAGCGGTGCTGGATGCTGTCGTGGAAGGTCCTTATGGGGCCGAACGGCGGGCAGCTGCCTGCCATTGTCACAGGGACATGTGCCCGCTTGTCCAAGCAGCCGTGGCCTGGGCCACTCTCCGTAGGAAGCTCAAAGCCAGTTGGGCAGCAGGTTCCGTACGGCTGCCCTCCACCACGGTTCTGTCATGAGAAAGATTTCCCATTTTCAGCCCCAAACGCGCTGGCTGATTTCACCACGGTCTTTTGTTAGCCGAGCTTCCGACATTCGCCTCTTTAAACCCTCAGCTGCCTGACAGCTCCCTTTTAATTTTGGCCCAACGACCCAACCTCCCCCATTGAGCGGGAGAGGGGAATTAGGAAGTGATTAACAAGCCTCTTGGTGAAAGTTATTTGTGCACTTTATGCTAATCCCCTTCAGTGACCACTTTTCTTACCATGACAAACGGCGAGGCAAGTAATCCACTTAATATCAAGCTTGCATTTATTTCAACAACCGCACCTGCTAATGTATTTGAACAGTGCTGAGAAGGTCCACACGTGGATGGGAAAGGCAACATGGAAACCAAGCAATAAAAGCTCAGCAGGTCCCCAAGCCAGCCTGTGTGCTCACAGTAGGAGGGAAAAATAATTTTTGTCTTCTTTTTCCCTCCAAAGAAAGTAATAATTTCCATAGGCAGAGAGAGGAGGGGTGCGCTTCTGCAACGGAAGGGCGTGATAAGAAAGGAATCACTTTAAACACAGCTGCTGGGAACAGCAAAGGGGAAAAAAACAACAGGTTTATTCATAGAATCATAGAACGGTTGAGGTTGGAATGGACCTTGAAGATCATCAAGTTCCAACCCGCCTGCCCTGGGCAGGGCCACCTCCCCCCAGCCCAGGTTGCTCCAAGCCCCGTCCAACCTGGCCTTGAACACCTCCAGGGATGGGGCAGCCACAGCTTCTCGGGGCAACCTGCCCCAGGGGCTCACCACCCTCAGAGTGAAACATTTCTTCCTAATATCTCATCTCAATCTCC